TTTTCTGTGCAGTACTGTGATACAGCCTCGTATTTTCTGTGCAGTACTGTGATACAGCCCCGTATTTTCTGTGCAGTACTGTGATACAGCCCCGTATTTTCTGTGCAGTACTGTGGTACAGCCTCGTATTTACTGTGCAGTACTATGATACAGCGCCATATTTACTGAAGAAGTTCTGTGATTGTATTTGCAAACACTCATGTCTATCATAACATGATGTAGGTCACACAATATTGACACACTTCAGGTCATCATCAGCACGTCATGTAATGTCTACTTTAGCGCCAGGTTAAAGTCTGAGTTTGTCAATCAGATAAGGTTCAAACATTACACACCTGCTGGCACTTTGAGAGTACTGTGATATTTGACCTGAATAAACACTGAAACACTCACAAACAGGAGCCGTCTGGAGATCGTTGAACTGTAGCAGACAGACCGAACAGGATTGTGRGTCTAAATGTGCAAATGTAGCCCTCAGCAAGACTCTTAGCCGCAACCACAACACGTTCGCACATTATCTTCAAATCGACTAAATTATAGACATTTTGTGTTTTTAAGTTCAGTTGTAGAGGTCATCTTGAATTYGTTTTAAAAGTTTTTCTGTTTGAATCAATAAATCTAGTAACACCCCCCCATAAAGMTTCATTAAACTCCATTCTGTGGTTCATGAGATAATTTGCTGACAGATAGTTGACTCGAATAGTGAGGAAAGGAAATTTTAAAACAATTTTTTTTCTCATCAGTCAGTGCTCGAACCTGACCCRTGGTTCATGAAATATTTTGCTAACAGACAAAAGAAAAAATAGAAGAAGAAAAAAATCCTGTTCGTTTTGGCCTTTTGCTGATAAAAGAAAAGCTCTTCCAGCTCATGGTGTCTCCTGCAGAGAATGCCTGTAGATCATCAGCTCAGGAGTAAGGACAGTTAGGACAGGAGTCCCTCAGGGACATGTCCTGCGTCCACTGCTCTTCTCTCTCTACAACAAAGACTGCACCTCCATAGACTCTCATTATGTGCAGGTGGCACCACTGTCACTGAACTGATGAAGGAGAATGATGAGGCTGCGTATCGGCAGGAGGTTGACCGCAGACTCTTTAGTAGGATTTTGGAAAAAGGCATCAACAGAGAAGACTTTTACTTTTACCAAAGAAATATTATGGCATTTACCCACCCCCTCACAATGCCTTGTGTAATCCAGTGAATTACCAGTTGCAGTGAACTAAAATTTTTACTCCAAAAATAGTTTATTTTCTGTTAATATAATGACAACCTGAACTGATTTACTGCTGGAAATTGATCTTGTTTGTTTCTTGCTGCTGCACCTTTATTTCACCTTTATTTCACCTTTATTTCCCATGCATGAAGCTGTTGCTGAACTGCAGAGCTCCTTCAGTGACAGACYGCTGCATCCTAAATGCACAAAAGAACATTAGAATGAGATCAGATTCACTAGCTGGGAAACTTTTAATTAATAATGTCAAGGATTCTTGGAAATAAATACAGGTTCTTAACAGGAATAAGGCATCTTTGCCCTGTATGGATGGCATAACTTGCAACCAGGTGGTCAGCAGCATAGGAGCACCACAGGGAACTGTACTCTCACCATTCCTGTTCACACTGTACACTTCAGACT